TGTTTTTTGTTGATTTTGTTGCTTTTCTGTTTTAAAGATTCTAAATTGCTGTTGCAACTCTTGACAATCATCTCTTCTGACAATAATAATTCACTGAAAATCTTGAGAAAAATTGACCTAAAAATTTGTATTTAAGTACTCCTAAATATTTACCAGCGTATAAGTGACAACTATTAATAGTAACAAAGTGATAAGATTGTAAAGTAATTTTATCCTTTGTGCCTCTTTTTTAAATGATTTTAGTTCATTTTCATGGAAAAGTATCGAAATTTTTGATCAGATCGATCAAAATTTGTTTTGTAAACTTTATTAGTTTAATTTGAACTTTTTGAACTTTACAACACAAAAAAAAATGAAAGTGTGAACAAGGCTTTCTTGCTAGTATTATCTCTCTAATTATTAAACTAATTTTAAAAAATAATAAAGGTGAAAAAAGCAAAAAGTAATTGATTGACGTTATCATTCTGATAAAATGATCGAAATCCTTTCTGTTTTCAATCAGAGTTATTCATTTCTTTTCCATCACAAAAAATTAGGTCAAAAGAGTAGTGGACGAATAGATGTTTCATACTGATGACATCATGAAAAATTCTCGTTAACATTTGATCATTAAAACTGAATTCTAGAAAATTTATTACTTGATTAATCAATATTTTTATGATTATTATCATTATCATTATTTCAAATTGCTACTAATATCTCATTACTGTTATCGATTATCTTTAACTTAATTTTTATTTCAAAAATTTATCTCAAACTTTTCAATTTCTGAAGTAGTTTTTGCAGAAATCATACAACAATAACTCAATTCAGTATCAAAATTTTTATACATTTCAATGAAATGCTTTATTTTATTGGTTTTAATTTTGTAGCATTAAAAAAACAGTAATTGTGTTTGACAGAAAAGAATTGAACAAAGTAGAACATTATTTAAATTGCTCATTTGTGGTACCCCTCATGTTCATGAATTTAAGTTGTCACTTACTGTCAGAGAAGCAATTTTGACAAGAATAAATATAAGATGAAAAGTAATCACCTTTGTATGACCCCTGAATCAATCTTATATTTCCTTTGTTTACCAAAAATGACCAGCGTTGCTGCTGTATTCACTTTTGGTATCTGAGTAGTGGTCGAATTTTTAAGTAAAAAGGCCTTTTGTTTTCAGAGTTCTTGAGGTCAAACCAAAGGGTAAAATTGCTAATTATGCAAATATGGCACTACAAATTTATAATTCATAGACACTTTTTTACAATATTTATTGCTTTAGCAAAAAGTGATGCACGGAGCATATATATTTAAATCAGAATTCTATTTCTAAAAAAAATAAAAATTAGATATCTAGCAAATGGAGAGAACTGCTTAATTTTCGCTAAATTACAAATTTCTGCAATTTTCATGGCTAAATGATAAAAGTGACCAAAATTAGAATTTACTGCAGCTTTGCACGTGAGTCATATTTGCATAATATTACGATATTACTTTTGTGGTATTCATATTTATTTGAAAATATTTTTCTCAATGCGCTGATTTTAGCTTAAGATTAAATTATCTAAGTTCAATTTTAATATATGAGTTCAAAATTTTGACTCCGCTCTTTTTTTTAAATTTTATTTCGATATTTTAAAAAGTTGTTCAAATTTTTTTTTGCTTATTTTTGATTCACTAACTTTAAATATGCTTAAAAAGTTCAACTGTAAATTTTTTTTAAGCAAAACTTTAAAGTGTCAAATTTTAAAAGAGTAAAAGTCAAATGCTAATGTATACTTTTAAAGTCTCGAAGTTATCGCCCTAAGCAGTCGTTATTTGAATGTTCTAGCAGCTGTATTTCTTTTCGATGGCTGCATATGTATAATTATTTGCTGAATTTTCCTTAAAGACAGTCTAGCAGTTTGGCAGTATGATTTAATTGATAAATTAGTGAGTTTTTTGATTGAAAAAAGTCAAATATTATTACTAACTGAGATGGAAATTTCTTTAGGTGTAGCAAGCTGACGTCGATTACGACCCATTTTCAATAAATTATCCATTTGGATTTCTTGTTCGATACGTAATCGAGCTGCAAGTCGTTCAGGATCTAATCTCATCGCTTCTATTTCTTGCGGAATCCACCAGACAGAAACTAAGGAAGTCAATAATAATAGGTAAATTAGCCGAAAAAATATGCTAGAAAATATCATGACTGATTTATGACTGCGCCACCTCATTTTCTGTTCTGGTTGTTATTACCCGCGACACTGCCTGCAACCAAAAACTTCATCATTTGTATATTTTCTTATAATAGGAACCATAAAAGTAGTGCATAGATCCAAATAAATTAAAAAATATTAAGCACTGATAAAGTTTTTTCACTTTTATAAAATCTTTTATGCAAATTTTTTTTTTGAATTTAAAAAAAATATTTTCATAGAAGTAATTTTTCGTTTCAAGACTTTTTTAGCAGAAAATTTTGACTTAAAAAGAAAATTTTTCGATTAAAAGAGCTAAAAATTTTGTTAGATCTTTTTATTGTAAGTACAAGTTTGCTACATACATTGTAAAATTTGATCTAACCATTAGAGAAGTTCCAAAATTAACAAAAATTACTTCAATTACCAAACAATCACTAAATCAAATTC